AAAACTCAGCAGCTTCCTCACCTCCAAAGCTCTGATCAATCCCCTCCCAGCATCTCAGGTGTGCGGAGACACGGAGCGGGGAGCCAAGCACAGACAGAAAGAAAGCCCTGTGTGGGCCGCAGATAGTGTACCACTTCCCCCAGCTGCAGCCCCCAGGGCAGCGGCTCCTCACACACACACCAAAGCAGCATCACCTGTGTGAGGACAGGAAGGGCAAGGCCAAGGGCCCCGACAGATAAATCTCCCCTCTCTAATCTGGAAGAGTCAGAGCTGCTTCCCCAGCCTCGGCTAGCAGACTCCTACTTACAGCTCACAGGCTAACACTAAGCCATCCCTTGCTGTAAGGGTGACGGGACACAGGAGATGCAGACAGCCGTTGGGTCCCCAGCCAACAGCATCTCCACACTGGGGTGGGACACATGACACATACGTGAAGGGTTTGTAAATGCTGCCCAAGAATACCTGAAATATAGCTCCCTGAATGTTTATTTCCAAATAACATTATAAAATTCGTAAGCAAAGAAACAGGTGTGCCAGAGAAACAGAGGGCAGAGAAAGCACCTCTTGGGGAAATTAACTGTCCTTATCAGAAATATTTGAGAAAAATAACATTTTATTCATAACAATGGATATCGTAAACTTGTTGTTATCCACGTTGGACCCTCTTCCTTTTCCCCTGCTTTGTGAGAGTCTGCGAACAGGAATACACAGCTACCTGAAAACACAAATATTGTCATTCCCGGTCCGACGTAAAAGCCTGCTGTGTCCGCGCTGAGCTGGGCGTTGTGGAAACAAGCGTTGCGTATGTTAAACGAACAGAGAACAGTGCCTGCTGACCTGAATCCTGCACCAGATCGCGTGGTCCAAGCCCAGGGAGATTAAGATGCAAAGAAGCAGAGAACCACCACGGGACGGGCTGCAGCTGGTCTGCAAATTCCCCTCCTTAGCGAGTTCTGAGTGTTCCAGGAGTCTGTGTCCCCTTTCCTTCCTTTTAGTCGCTCATTTCCAGGACCGTGCTTGGCATTCTGAACTTCCTTCTGGTGCCAGCTCCCCCACAAGAATAGAAGACTTCCAGTTACGGTTCTCTTACCTTCTTCCACCTCTATCCATTCTTCTTTTGAAATGAGAGCTTCCGAGGAAAACAGCATCTCCTTAAAACAGAGCCTGGCCACACAGTTTTATCCGGGCTTGAAAGTGTGCTCTAATGAATGGTTTTCAAATGATTTGTACCAGAGAGGTGAGCCTGCTTCTGCGGTGGGGCAGTCACATGAGTGACATTTTTTGGCAAACACAGGGCAAGAAAGGAGGCATTGTCCTGGGATTAGGATGGGACCCAAATTTTGTGTCTCAGTCAAGGCTGAGACTCTTGTTATATAAAACTGGAGAGACAGTGAGGAGACAGTGGATCCATTTGATTGAGTCCAGGATCTTCTGGGAGACAAAAAAAAAACCCTGAAATTTTAACTGTCTGCAGTTCTCTGATATGTGAAGACAGGAAGTTACCAAGGTGGACCAGGATGACTATGAAACTGAATTAACTCTAGGACAGCAGAGGTCTAAACGGGTGAGCTGACCCTGCCCAGAGTCAAAACGGAAAGACTGTAACAAACACAGGTCCTGTGGTGACCTTTTTATACTGGTATTGAAAAACTGACTATGTTGTGTACCAGGAACTAACACAGTGTTGTAGCGCAATCATACGCCAAAAACAAATGAACTCATAGAAAAAAGGATCAGATTTGTGGTTACAAGAGGCAGGGGGTATGTGTGGGGAGGGGAGGAACTGGAAGAAGGTGGTCAAAGGTTACAAACTTCCAGTTATAAGATAAGTAAGTACTAGGGATGTCATGTACAACATGATTAATATAATTTGTATGTTGTATATGAAAGTTAAAAGAGTAAATCCTAGGAGTTCTCATCACACCCTGTTTTTTCTTCTTTTGTTTTATATCTATACGATATGAAAGGTGTTCACTAAACTTACTGTGGTCTTCATTTCATGATGTATGTAAGTCAAATCGTGTACACCTTAAACTTATACAGTGCTGTGTGTCAATTATATCTCGACTAGAAGCGGGAAAAAATGCAGCTATTGCTAAGGACATAAAAAAGAAGAAATTCATGACTGCTGAGACGACCTTGGGCGCTGTGTCCACATTACCCTGGAAATCTAACAGTTAGATCTTAGGGTTCAACACCCTCTTGCCCTCGCATAGAAACAGAGGTCTACAAAAATACATCCGTTAGAATACATCAAATGTAACCTGGGACTTAAAATTCAGTTACTTTTGTATTTTTGTTTTTATTTGTAAAATCATTTTATTGAAATTTGCCGTACATAAAGAAAATGTGCACACATTATGATTAAGGAGCTAGACGAATTTTTGCGGAAAGAAACCACCCATGTAGGCACCACCCACATCAAGATATACCAGAACCAAAAATAAATAAATAAATAAAAAACAAAATACAAAGACACCAGAACCCTTGAAGTCTTCTTTGTAGCTCCCTCCTTGCTATGAATGTTCCCAAAGGTAACCACTATTTTGATGTTAACTCACCATAGACTGATTCTGTCTGTTTATACATTCAATAAAATGGAAACATACAGAATAAAAACAAAAACAAACGACCTAGGTCCTGAGGATGCTGGGATGGCTCCCAGCGAGCCAGCAGGACCTGGTGCCTATGATGACATAGGTGCTGGGCATGGAGCGATGAAAGGAGCAACAGACGTATCTCCATCAAGTCCTGGAACTGCGGGATGGGATACCCACAACCCTCAGCAAACTGAGTGCCAGGAGGTGCCCAGATGGCACCATTTCAGGGTGGACCATCATCACCTGCAGATAGGGGAGGATTCGTTTTTTCTGCAACAGCGTGTGCATGGAAGGGAGAGAGGCAGCAGCTGATATTTCACTCATGAAAGTTAGACAAAGGCCCTTTTCAGACTTCAAACGTAACCATGATGTTGGGGGTTTTATTTCAACAATTCAAAGATGGTAACCTGAAAGGAGGACTATTAGACTTCTTGCTAATCTGGCAGCTCAGGTTCTAGAGCTGTCTTCAACGCAACAGGAAAATCTAAAAGAATGTAACTAATTAGGTCTGTGAAGCAGGTAAATTCAGTTACACGTATACGAAACATTTATTCAAAAATAATACATGAAGCAATGTCAGAGGCATGATAATTTAGTGATGAAAGGCACAGACTTTGAAGCCAGACAGGCTGAGAACAAGTTCTAGGTCTGCCACGTGTTTGGAAGGTAATCCCAAGAAACATCAGAAAGGGAGCAAGGAAACAGAATAGGAGACGGAAGGAAGCCGATAAAGGGTGTGTTGTCTAGTCACCTATCACAAGGGCAACTGAAGCACGATCCTGGCGGGGAGATGCGGAGGCAGAACAGGGTGTATCTAACCGTTGTCCCAGCCCAGGGCGAGGCAGCTGGGGTATATATCCACCAAGGTCTGCCCACCATCAGTGCAGGGCTGCTCCGGGGGGAATTCACTCTCTGGCTCTCCGCTGACTGCACATGCTGCTGATCACTCTCCCAGGACAGGAACAAGCCCTCGGGTAGGGAAGCTCAGGTGTTCATGGTGAGCAGTGAGCATGCTGATGGAAGCTCAGGGGGACACAGTGGCGGACTGCTGACCCCGTCTGCCGCACAGGGTAACCAGGCTCACCCCTGAGTAGTTCAGAGAGCACTTTCAGAGACAGTACCACATTTCACCTTCCCTACAAACCTGAAAGATAGGTATTTATTACCCCCATTTCACAAGGCATGAAACTGAGGATACAAGACATTAAATGACTTGCCACAGTCACACAATCAACACAGCAAGAATCTGAACTCAGGTTTTCTGTTTCCAAACACCATTTTTTTAAATCAACTACACCCAGTCTTCGTATAAGCTGAGCTTAAAAGGATGGAAAATGATTTGCCCATGAGAACACTGGAGCCACCCTCAGGCTGAGTGGTAGGAGGGCTCCGGAAGGACCCCGCTGTGGGGCTGCTAAAGCAGCAGAGTCCACACTGGAATAAGACAACAAGACACTGTTTAGGGTCTGGGCTGATGTAACAAGTGTGTTTTATGATAATGGGTTGTGAATTCCAGGAGAGAGCATAGAGGGGGTTTAGATGTTGGGGGAGGGGAGAAGGTGCACTAGAGGAAGGGGACAAAAGAGGGAAAAGACAGAGCCCTACACAATTCTCAGAGCTGTCTCTCCTCTCCTGTCACCTCTCCTGCCACCTCCCTTCTCTCTCCACTCCCACTGCCCACCCTGCACAGGGCCTTTGTACAGGCTGTTCCCCCACCTGGAATGGTTTTCCCTCAGAGAGCCACACGGCTGAATCCCTTATTTCCTTCAAGTCCTTGCTCAAGTCCTTCTCAAGGAGACCTAACTCCCCTGGCCATCTTATCCAGGATGTACCATATCCTGACCAGGCATCTACCCTCTTGATCTCCCTTCTAATTTTCCTTTTTTTCCATAATGCTTGTCACCTCTGACTTCCTATGCAGTTACTTATTTTCTGTGGGTACTGTGCATCTCTCTGTCCTAAAATGTAAGCCGGACAAGAACACTGATGTACCCCAAGCCCCCGGCCAGTGGTGAGCGCTCAGTGAACGTCTGCTGTAAGATGGATGAATGGACGAATGGACGAATGAACGCCAACATTCATCAGCCCACAGGAACGATCCCTGTGCCACTCCACGCCTTCACCGTAACTTAGTGCCCCACACTTCCAAGGAGAAAGAAGGGGCTTCACTTTCTCTGTTTCCTGGCCTCCACCTCTTACACCTCCCCACTGTCCTAGTCTCAGGCTTCTCTGCCTCTTTTTCAGTCTAGCAACCAGGTGCCTCTGCCCTGTGAAAGCAGGCATTTTCTTCCCAGTTTGCTTTCAAATGTTAGTGCTTTTGCTTGCCTGTGAAACAGATGGTAACAGTTTATTCAGTAACTGGAATGTCTCCTTTCTCTTTTTTTTGGACACAGTAGATGCCATGAACCATATTTTGCTTTCAGTTGCATTTGTCAAAAAGAAGGTAGGATCTGCTTATGCGGTCAGCGTTAGGTCTGGATACTGCCCTGACGCTGTCGACATCGTGTTTGCTTGGATATATTTATGGTGTCTGAAAACATCTGCTCCAGTTCCAGCGGTCAAGGTTAAGAGATAAGGATCTAGCAAGAGAAGGATGGAAACCAGACCACATGTCAAGTGCAGGGAAAGGGCAGGGCTACAGGCTGGAGAGTAACAGAATCCTACCCTCCAATGAGGTCACTAGTAGAGAAACATGTATAAAGCGTTTAAGTAACCCTAATACGTAAGCTGAGAACTAAAACTCGTACTTAAATTCATAGAGCAGCATTTAAAATTCTGATGCACCCTGGTGAGTGTTGTAGGGTTGAGTTTAGGATTTGACTAACTCAGAAATAACTAGCTCCATTTCCTGAAACCTAAAATCATAAGCAATTAAGTGTGTGAAGAACACAGAAAATAATACAACAGAGAAAAATTCTCAGTGACACACACTTTCAGTCTCTTTCTTTTTTTTTATCATCCACTATATTTTTTTTCACACTTTTTATATTGTAGTATAATTGACACAGAACACACTAGTTTCAGGTGTACAATATAATGATTCAATATTTGTATATACTGTGAAGTGACCACGACTATAAATCTAGTTAATATCCATCACCGTATTTAGCTACAAAAATTCTTCTGTGATGAAAATTTTTAAGAGCTACTTCTCTTCGTAACTTTCAAATATACGATACAGTATTATTGACTGCAGTCACCATGCTGTACATTACATTCCCCGGGATTTCTTCTATAACCGGAAGTTTGTACCTTTTGAAATGCCTTTCACCCATTTCAACCTCCACCCCACACATCCCCTAGCAACCACCAATCCCTGCTCTCTGTATCTATGCACTTGGTTGTTTCTTGTTTTTTAAAGATTTCGCATATAAGTGAGATTATGGGATTACCTGGCATTTGTCTTTCTCTTTCTGATTTATTTCATTTAGCATAATGCCCTCAAGGTCCAACCGTGTGGTTGCACTTTCAGTCTGAAAGGTGATAATCTGATGTACAGAGGATACTGGCTGACAGGACCCCCTGGCACCCAGGAAGTCACTGCCTCAGCCATTACAGACAGGCTGCACAGCTAACATGTCTTCACGTTTTGTGCTTCAGGCCCAACAAATAGGGTAGAACAGGTCAACATTAAATATTCAGTTCCCCCATCCATTCATTCATCACCTATCCCAACACTGGATGCTCAGTGAAGGGCCAGGCAAGTGAGCTTAAAATGACTGACAAAGAATAAAGCAAAAAGCGGGCCTTGGCGCCAGGCATTCTCCCAAAGTAAGAAAGATTAGTTGGAGAGAGCTTCAGGAAATGCAGCCAGGGCTGAGAATTACTGGCTTGTCTGCAATGCCCGGGTCCAAGTGACTGCGGGAGCGAACCCATCAGTGTTTCTGCAGTGTTCTTGCTCATCACATCTACTTACTTACAGAGCTCCATATTTATATAGTTACTTTAATCAGATTACTTCTTTTTTGGTTGGTTTATAAATATACCATGGGCAGAGTGAAAGAGGGTATATCTTTTTTCTCTACATTTTATTTTTAATCCGCTCCATGAAGCAGTTAGGAAGTTCAACCTTGGCCCCGAACTGCGACAACACCAAAACAGTCACGAAACTATTCCATTAATTAAATGCCAGCTTCAGAGACAAGAAAACTTATGTTCAGAAGCTTGTGCAATGTCACCCACTGGCATCTGTGGCAAGAATTGTCTTCATCTTTTGCTCCTACTTAATCTGGAAAACTTTATGGGAATTTTCTTAATGCTGCATTATTCTGGAAATGGGCGATACATTAAATCATTAAAAATGACCCAGTCTGACTCTGTCTAGAGGGGACATAATCACCCCAGCAAGAAATTTGTGGGCAAGCGTAAAGAGGTCAAAATGACAAGTAAAGCATCCGACAGAAAAGTCTAGTCAAAGATGCAAAGAAGTCAGCAGACAGCATCTGACCTGGTACTTGAGGCTTGAAACTGTAGTAGGTGCTTTTCTACTACAGATTCTAAAAGCAGGAAAGGAAAGGGTTACTGGTGCTTCATCCCAGACGCCCACCCTCTATCTCTTCTTCTAGCTTTCTTAGACAGCATTTGACATAGAGCACTGTATACGTTTAAGCTGAACCGCATCACGATCTGACTTACACACAGCATGAGATGATGATCACAATAAGGTTAGTGAACATCCATCATCTCAGACAGACACAAAATCAAAGAAACACAAAAAAACTTACTCTCTTAACTTTCATCTTCAACATACAGCAATATATGAAAGCACCACAGGAAAGTAATCTTTCTTACTTTGGGGGAATTCCTGGTGCCAGTATTTGTAGGTATCATACTGTACGTTACATTCCCAGTGCTCATTTATGTTGTAACTGGGACTTTGTAGCTTTGGACCACCTTCCTCCAGTTCCCTCTGCCCAGGCCCCGCCTCTCATAACCACAAATCTGATCTTTTCTTTCCATAAGTCTGTTTGTTTTTGAAGTTTAATTGACCTACAACCCTGTAAGTTCCTGTTACACAACACGTTTCTTTACATTTCAAAACGATCACCACGAAAAGACTAGTTACCACTTATCACCTGTACAAAAACATTAGTCATTGACTATATTCTTCACGCTGTACATTTCATACCTGTAACTCATCTATCTTGTTACTGGAAGTTCGTACCTCAGTCTCCCTCACCTATTTCTCTCCTCCCCGACCCCAGCACTTCCTTCTCATTTGGAGTTAATCTGTCTGGGAATTCCAGGCAAATGTGAACTTGACTGTATTACGACTGTGGAAATGGGTGAATCCGCAAACTCACTGAGGATTTGCAATGAGATCTAAATCCTTATTATGACGAACGCTATGGTCCTCCACGCACGGCTCGGTCCTCCTTGGTGCCCTGCTCCCCCCCACTGGCCTCTAGCCGCTCTGCTGTTCTCCCCACTTTGGGCTGCATTAGGCACTAGCCCACCTGGGGCGGGGAGCCTTCCCAAATGCTGATCCTCCCAAATGCTGTTTCTCAATTTCAGTCCTTCTGTCATTTGGGGCCTGAAAATTCTTTGCTGTGCGAGGTTGTCCTTTGCATTGCAGGAAGTTTAAGCAGCACCTCTGGCCCCTACCGACTAGATGCCAGTAACACCACCCACCCCCCTCCCATCCCCCGCCCAGTAGCGACAACCAAAATGTTTACAGACACTGTCAAATGTCCCCTAGGGACAAATGCCCCCAGCTAAGTACTATAGCTCTAGCCGGTTCCAGCTCATCATTCAGGTCTCAACACGAACGCCACCTCCTCTAAGAGGCCTTCCCTGGTTTCTCAATCTAAAGTAAACCCCCTCATTAATCTCCCTTTCATGCCACCCCAGTCCTTTCCTTGATAGACATCTGCACAATTTGTAACGACACACCTATTATCTCATCCACGTGTTGAATGTCTCTCTAACAGCTGCTACCGGCAGCTCAGTGAGGGCTGTGACCGTGTGTATCTCAGTTGCCAGCATGAACTCAGCAGCTAGCACAGTGCCTGACCCCCAGAAAGATGCCCAGTTAAAACTGTCCAAGGATATTATGCTAACATTTCAAAGGATTCTGAGGTCAGGTTTATTCTGTATCCAAAACCCACTGCCCAGTTAGTTCTCCCACTTACTTGCCGGCGTTAATCACTTTACTTCATTGACCTACAGTTGTCTGCTCTGTAAAACAGGGCAGAGGTCAACAGAGTTGCAGTAAGGAGCAGGGATCTTGTTTATAAGGTGTCTGTCACATAGCAGCTGCTCAATAAAATGTCAAGTTTTCATCAAATATTCGTCTTAATAATAATATTCACAATAACAGCGCTGTGGATCCTGGGCCTTATCAACCCCACCGCACACAGCTCCTGCCCCAAGCCTGGTATGCAGCGCACCCCACTGAGCCCGGAGCCTCACAGATGGCAATCTGTCTCTCACCCCAGGCCCCTTTGTTCAGTCTGTGTAACTTGGCTTTCGCACAAATTTCCTGTCTTGCACACTATTTTCCTTTCCGGGAAAAACTCTCCCCCGAGACCCACCCGTTTTATTAAGGCTCAAACACCCTCTGAGTTATTTCTAGCCTCTCTATGTGCCGACAGCCATAGTCCATTCCAACCACCCAGACCAACCCACACCACAGCAACGATGCTAACATCAACACTAGAAACTCCCAAGCTGCTCCCGCCCAGTAAGCAGATCGAACGCTGACCCGGCTGCCTGATGTGAGGCAGAGCCCAGCCCCTCCTGTCCTGGAGAGGAGGGCACTGAGCGCTGAGGCACAGGACACACTGGGGCAGTCTTGAGGAAGGCACGTGGACTATCTGGGGAAGGACGGGTAGGGTACAAGGTTGGGAACTGCTAACTCACAGCCCCTGGCATCTTCTCCCTGCTTTTGCCCCTCCCCCATCTGCTGCAAAGGTCCCGGGGACACTCCAGCCAGAGACGGTGACAGCGTCCACGGTGAAGTCTTCAAAACGCACCTACAGCTGTGCAAATAGCTAAACATGGCCATAACTGCCTACATTTCTGAAGAAAAAAAAAAAAAAGAGTTCCTTTCAGGACTGAGGTCAGCGACCTCTGAGTGTCCTGAATTGCTGGTTCCGGCACAGGGTTTCAGCAAACTCCTCCTTGTCCTGAACTTCATTAGGTGGAGCTGACATAAGCTAGTAAAAATTATTTAAACCCTTTTCTGAGCAGCATGGTCATGCCAGTCAGAGGAACCTACTGACACATCTGGCTTTGGGGGCCAGAGAGCAAGGGAAGGTGGCCCTCTCCCTGGCTCCCTGCTAACCTTCCTTCCTCTATGGCTGTCAGGCTGTAAATACCTTAAATTCTGCAATTCACATATAGTCTGTTTCTTCTCTTCTCCTCCTTCTTCTTCTATGTTGTCTCAAATCCTCTAAAAATATAAAAGCCTTGGGGGGAGGATATAGCTGTGAGAGACCATGTGCTTAGCATGCATAGTGTCCCGGGTTCAATCCCCAGTACCGCCTCTATAATTAAATAAATAAACCTAATTCCCCCCCAAAATTTTTTTAAATAATAAAATAAAATAAAATATATATAAAAGCCATTCTTAGCTCTTAGGCCACCAAGAAATAGTCTGCACTGTTCTACAGGCCGTGATAGACTGATCCTGCTCCAAACCAACGAGGCACAGACATCTGAGTAATGGCCTTCAAACTGACAGCTCAAGCCAAGTCCATTCATTTCATTTAGGATATTGTGCTCCTGGGGGATAACTGAAATTTTACCAGTACGCAAAATATGCCAAATAAAACAAATGGACCTTGGTGTGAACTGTCAGTCTGAAGGGCCTACTTACGAAAACCCCTAAGTTATTCGTAATTCATTGAGCTGATGCTCAAAGAGATATGCATTTTACTATATGCAAGTTGCATCTCAACTTCTTGAAGTTTTATAGCATTATTAGTATTTAGTGGTTTAAGCTCTATCCTGTCTTTTTATTTCCAGAACCATTCCCAGCTGAAAGCAGGCCCTCATTTACTGTGTGTTATGAAATAAAGGGGAGGCATGAGGCTGGGTGGTGGTGGAGGAGGGAGAGGAGGAACAGCATCACTGAACACAGTAAACCCAGGCCTGAAAACTAAACCTGAACAGCTGTATCTCTTGAAAATCACCTGTTTTGTAGGCAAAACGAAGCACCTGCTCACACCTAGTTCCAATAAATAAGTGCAACTGTCCTGTGAGGATCACAGTCATTGTATCAGTGGTTACAAGGGTCCGTGGAAGTCCTCTGGGGCAGTGTCACGCAGGGATCCCCGACAGGTTTCCCGGGACCACAACTCTGGAAGCTGTGACCAACTAGTCTACCAAGCCAGGAGCGCGTTCTAAAATTCAATTCAATATCATTTTAATATGCACAACAGCTCTGTGAGGTTCCATAAAGCTTGAAGTGTTACAGAGTTGTATGTAAGAGATATTTATTTACAAACCTTAAGAGTTAAGGAAGGAGGGAAGGCAGACGTCCCTGCAGAGAGGATTAGAGGTTCGAGGGCTTAGGGAACACTTGGCTCTGGAAATCATGGTCCGTGACAAAGTTGCAAGAATCCGGTTTAGTGTGTCCCATCAAGCTCTCCAAAAAGAACACAGTCAGCCCTCTGGCTGAGATTTCCAGTTATTATGGAACCTGAGGCAAGCTGTGACTGGGATAAAACCGCCTGGGACAATGAAGTGGTTTCCATTAGGGAGAAGCGACTTTCAACTCCAGGAAGATTCAGAATCAAGCACAGAAATATTTCAGATAATCACAGCCATACGTTGCTCTACGAGACCAGGGAACGTGTGCACATTTAGTACTTTCTGTATTAGGAACATTTAGGAGAATTGAGTCCATCAGAGTGTCAATCTTCTAATTAGAATTTAAATGCTTAATTGAGTACTCAATATAGACATTATTTGGGATTGAAATCTTTTAAATTTGGGAAGCAGCACTTTAAGAGAATTTTAAGTTTGCTACATTTCAGTTTAACGTGTTGGATTTATAAGAATTATTTAAACACTTGGGAAGGTTTATTAGGCAAACAAATTTTTAAAGATAAATAACTGAAATACATTAAATATGTAAATTCAGTGTAAAATGGCTGAAGATGTTTAATTAACAAGTCCAAAAATTGAACCAAATATTAGTCAAAGATGCTTATAAGTGACTGCAAAACTTTGCTTGGTTTATAAGTAAAGATCTATAAACTGAACTTTAAAGCTTAAGGAAAAATATAATTTTGAATCTGTAACTATAGTAAATTTATTATTAACTTTTAAAGTTCAAATGTCTGAAAAGTCTTTTCTGTGATTAAAACAACCCTTAAGTACACTGAGAAATTCACACTCAACACCTCCATCACAAGCCTTAACTCCTTCTGCAGTTTCCCTTATGACATGATTTATACACATCTCAGAATTTCTGCTACCTCTTCTGGGCAGTTATTTATCACTGTGCCTATGGGCTCTAATTGCAAAAATTCAAATTGATACCTATCTATTTGACATCCAAGAGGTACTTAGTAATTTAAAAGCAAGTAGTAATTTAAAACCAAGATATCCGGGTACAATAATATAAATTCTAAAATTGAGATAAGATGCAAAATTGCTAAAATTTTGAGAAAACAGCCCAAATTAATCCACTATTTTAGAGCTTCTCTGTGCCACAGAAATTTAGTCACACAAGTTGGGACTTTTGACCAATCAGTACAATATATTGCCTTCTATAGGTATATCCTGCCTCCAATTTCTGGAAGTTTAAATTCAGGGACCATTAGCAGAAACACCCCATCTAACATATTCTGACAAGAGGATATAGCAATAAAATAAAAACTAAATATATGTGATATCTCCAGACAGTTTCAAGATCCTTTTTTCCAGTCGGAAAACACTTTTTAGCATAGGAAAATAGTGTTATTAGCTTTGAGTTAGTTTATAGGAGCTGCAGTTTTAAAAGGATAAAATAAATATATCATGCTTTAATGGGTATCAATATCTTCTGTGACTGTAGAAGAGCATGGTAATCATAAAATCTTTTTTTTCCCAAAAAACAAAATTAATGTAAATGGAAGATGTCTCCAGTGGCAAGGTAAAAGGACAGAGGGGTAGCTCAATTAGCAACAAAGAAAAAGTCTTTACATCATTTCATGCCTGAATGTGGCTTTCCTTACTGATATGCAGGGCTTCTTAGACACTTAAGTCATAACTGTATATGATAAAAATTCAAGAATTAAAAAAGGAATAGGGAGAAACTTCTGCATTTTGCCACCTTCAGAGTAACCAGTATCAGACTTGTCCTCCAGCCATCAGCTACAACAAATGACAAATAAAGAAGGTAATTATTTTCAGACACGGGACCCCAGGCAGCACATGACTGAGATCCTGGAGAGAAGGGAAGCCCACATAGTGAGCAGCACATTTACCCTGGTTCTTTGCCGAGATAAACCTTTCAAACCACAGGAGCCGAGGAGTGGCGCCCAAGCAGGGCACAGCAGTCTTCGTGAACAGAAGCGGCAGGGACTGAAGTTCAGGGCTGCTGAAGGTCTGGAATGTGCGGGGCACCACAAAGACAAGTTCCTAGAAGTCTGCGTGGGAGTTCCCAGCAGATCCTTGGCTGAGGGCACGGGTGCACAGATCAGGACAAAACTCTGGAAGGCCCCACGGAGAGAGGATGCTGCGGGATTGAGTGCTGAGTGGAGGCACCGGGAACAGCTCAGTGCTGGAAGGCTCTGGAAGTCCTGCCCAGCCCGGGGGGGGGGGAGACCTCACCAGGCCCTCCGAGCACCTCCTGAGAGGGCAGGAAGGCCATGTGGTAATAGGAAGTATTATGCCCTCATGCGTGGAGTCATCTCTAGAGCAGAGGTTGGAAAAAATGTTTCACAAGCCCAAAAAGTAAATATTTCAGGCTTGTAGGTCATATCATCTGTTTCCCAACCTCTCAATACTGTCAGCATAGCCTGAAAACAGCCACAGACAACCTGCAAATAGTGAGTATGGTTGTGTTCCTATACAGTTTTGTTTATAGACACAAAGGTGACCTGAGTATTAGAAATGGCAGATAAGGATATAAAATTAGTCATTATAAATATGTTTAAAGACTTAACACTTAACAGAAAAGATAAACACAGTAAACAGGTAGGAAATCTCGGCAAAGAAACGAAATTATAAAAAATAACCAAGTGGAAATTTTGTAACTGAAAATTACATCCCCCAAAATAAAATACTCCTGAGACAGACTGAATAGCAGGCCAGAGACTGCACAAGAAAAAGTCAGTGAGCTTGAAGACAAATCAAAATAAATCATCCAGTGAACTCATCTACAAAACAGAAACAGACTCGCAGACATAGTAAACAATCTTATGGTTACCAGGGGAAAGGGGGTGGGAAGGGATAAATATGGGAGTTTGAGATTTGCCAATGTTAACCACTATATATAAAAAGAGATAAACAAATTTCTTCTGTATAACACAGGGAACTATATTCAACATCTTATAATAACCTTTAATGAAAAAGAATATGAAAACAAATATATAAATGTATATGCATGACTGGGACATTGTGCTTGTACACCAGAAATTGACACATTGTAACTTCAAAAAAACCCAAAACAAACAACAAAACAAATCATCCAATTTGAAGAACAAAAGGAAAAATGTTAATGAATAGACTTGGTGACCTACAGGGCAATATCAAAGATCCAAACATGTGTAATGTGAGTATCAGATTGAAAGGAGAAAAAGAACAGAGAAAGAAAAAAATGTTTGAAGGAAAAATGAAGGAAATCTTTCCAAATTCGGATCTTTTAACAAGTCAATTTATAGATCCAAGAAGCTCAGTGAAGCCCATGCAGGATAAACACTAAGAAAAATACAACAAGATGTATCATCATCAAAATACAGCAAAATCCAAAAATGATGAGAGAAGTCTTAACAGAAGCCAGAGAAAAAGATGCATTATATACAGAGGAGCTATAATACAAATTCAAAATGACTTCTCAGCCAAAACAATGGTGACAGGAAGTCAGAAGATGAAGAGTTCAAGAGCTGCAAGAAAAAAGGGGAAACAAACAAACAAAAAACCCACCACTATCAACACAGGGAAATATACACAAAATGTTATGATAAATCACAGAGAAAAAAATGTGACAATGAGTGTGTATATGTCCATGAATGACTGAAAAATTGTGCTGAACACTGGAATTTGACACAACACTGTAAAATGATTATAAATCAATAAAAAATGTTAAAAAAACCCACCACTATCAACACAAATTCCTAAACCCAGCAAAATTACCAAATAAAGACATATTCTGATAAATGAAATCTGAAAGAATTTGTGGTCAACAGACCTACACTATAAGAAATGCTAAAGCAACTCTTCAGGCCAAAAGAAAAGTGAAACCAAATGAAATTTCAGATTTACAGGAAGGAATGAAAAGCATAGAAATTAGGAAATATGTGGATATGTTAAAAAGGCTATTTTTTCCTCTAAGTTTCCTTAAAGCCAAAGTAGTTAACGTTGTAGTGTACAGAGTTTATAAAGTTCATAGGAGTAAAATATATGACGACATTAGGATAAAGATGGAGTAAAAAATATTACACTGTTGTGAATTTCTTCCAGTTTCCAAGTGCCACAATGTTAATTTAACATGAACTATGATTTTTTTAAAAGATAGAAGAAAAATGTAAAAGAATGCTAAAATATTCAATTCAACAAGAAGAAAGTGGGAAAGTGAAACTGGGTAATTAGTAGTCAAATTCATTTCATCTGCCTTCACTACTCAAGGTCATTTTAAGACTTGCATGTCCTCCAAGCAAAGTGTAGCCTAAACTATAATTTGTTTGCCTAAGTTGTTTTCTGGGAACTTGGAGTCAGCTGTGTCTAGTTTGAGCTGAGCTGGTTAAGAAACTGGATAGGACCACTGACCCTCCAGTTGGGCATGTGTGAGTGTCTGCTTGGTGACCTTTTGACACCACAGGGCTGAAAACGCCACCCTCAGACAGTGCGAAGCACTTCCATTTTTGAACGTGCACCAGCCTGTAGTTAAGCGTACTTGTGCAGAAGGACCATTCCTGCACCTTTTCCAATAACCTTTCTCCGTGTTCCCCACGCATCCTACACCTCAACTGCCCTGCTTCTTTATTCTTTATTCCATAAATCCCCTGAGCCCCTGCCTTCAGGGAGGCAGATCTGAGACTTGTTCTCCCATCTCCTCGCGTGGCTGCCTTGTGAATAAACCCTTTCTGCTGCAAATCGCAATGTCTCAGCATTTTGGCTTGCTGTGCGTTGGGTAAAACGAACCTGG